GAGTGAAAAATGTAAAGGGGTCTGAATACTTTCCGTACCCACTGTATGTGAAGAGTTTAACTACATTTAGAATTGTATTAATTGATTTCAGTTTAATATTGGCCACCCTGTCACTGTCCCTGAATCTTCACTCACTCTCCATCATTAATTCTCCTCAGTTAGCTGCTGCATTTACACCAATAGTAAAATACACACAAAATTGCAATTATACAGTACATAGCCACAGCCAAAACAAGTCTGTGGAACCAATGATTAATGAGTCGCCTAGTCATCTCTAGGTTCTCACATCTATTAATTATCGCAGAACTTGGCAGCTCCTGGCATTTGTTATTGAACACTTTTTGTCTTTTCTCTCCCTCTGTCTCTCTCTCAGAGGATTATGCGTCCATGTGTAACCTTGGCGGGCGGCGGGCGTACGGTCATGACGCCCTTGTTGCTGGCCCGATCCATGAATATGAAGTGGGCCCAGACTATTCACAACCACCCGAGCAGCAGGCTGTCCTGCCTTTTTATGAGAACGTGGACCGTGAGTATTTGTATTTTATGCATCCTTCATAGTAACAGAGGAAGAGACAAGGAAACACAGGATTTATTTTATATTACCTAACAATCAGGTCTTTACTAATATTACTTTACTAACAGTTATGTGGACAAGTTAAAGAATATAGAGTTTATCCAGGAAGCAGTCGAAGGAAGTGGCTCTCAAACCTTTTTCTGGTTATGATCAGCTCAACCAAGAGCCCTTGAAAGAACCCACTGGTCTAAGATCTTTACCAGTTAATACTAAACTGACCAATGGAGAAAAAGGAACAAACAATTAATGTGTGAATGTGGCTAATTGATTTCACTGCTTTATATGGCACGGCAGCCATGTAGTGTATTCCATTTAGCTGGAAAATGTTCACTTAGTTTATCTCAGAGGTTATTGTCCACACAGAACGCATGCAATTCAAAACTTAGCTTATTGACAATGTATTTATCTTTTGAAACTTATTAAAACACCCCTGTTATTGTAGGCGTATTATAAAATACGGGGAAACAACAGGGATGACAGGATCTGTGTTGTCTACCTTCATTGATGTAAATTGGGTGGACAAGATATTAGAAATACCTCTCAGTAACAACAGCAGCACAAACTATAGCATAAGTTTAAAGTTCAATCAACTCCTCTCTCAAACAGTTTTAAAAAATGCATTCATGGGAGTACAGGCAGGATTTATTGCTGGTTGTATTAGAGGGCATTAGTACCTAATGAGCTGGCGTAATACACTGAGCATCTACAGTTCGTTTGACAGTTGTGTGTTGTACAAACTGCTGTGAGTGAAGCAGACTATGAATTACAATGCAAATTATGAATGAGTATTATATTAAATATCCAGGTTCAGCTTCTCTGATGACAAACGCTGACTGATATTCATTTCACAGCGCTTTGCTGCCGTCTAGTGACAATAAAACGAACAACATATTAGAACGAGTTCCTTTAAAGGAAAGTACAAGAGTCAGCTGGTCCCGATTCCAGACCTGCAGTAGCTGAAAAGAAAACCTCTGTGTCACAGTGGGAAGTGATTGCGAGCCATTAATGCAAACTATGTTCTGTACTGAAAATTTAAAAGCGGGTTTTTGGGGCGTGCTTTGATTTATCTATGGTAAAAACATGAGAAACAGAGGACATATGAAGGAGCCTTAGTAGAAACCTCGACTAAGGCCAGTGGTCTTATCAGTTCACTTTTTGTGAGGATTAAAGCCAGATGTTAGGAACCTTGTTCTGCTCCCTGTGTTGACTTAGCTGGAAAAGATAAACTCCTGCAGTTATTCATTTTATTTACAGGGTAAACATGCTTCAAATTTTGGAACTACGGAGTCCGTTAGTTAACTGTGATCTCTAACTCAAACTCCATGGGTTTTTTGGCCTGTATTTGTTTACATTTTGGCAAATTTGCATCATTAAAGTATGCTGAATTATCTAGAGGCGCTCCTGTTTGTAGTGTACTGACGGATGTACAGACAACTATCACAGGATTACAAGTTTACATTAAAGGTTCTGGAGTTGGTTTGTTTTTTTTCTGCTACAGATCCATTCAAGGCATTTGAGGGTTTGCAAGCAGAGGAGTGTGGGATTCTGAATGGCTGTGAGAACGGTCGGTGTGTCCGGGTTCAGGAGGGTTACACCTGTGACTGCTTCGATGGATACACCCTGGACCTGTCCCGCATGTCCTGCGTTGGTAAGAGGGCACTTACACACAACTAGAACATATAAAAACATAGCATAACTGTTAAGTATCTATCCTCCTCTGTCCACAGATGTGAACGAGTGTTCGGAGCTAAACAATCGGATGTCCTTGTGTAAAAATGCAAAGTGCATCAACACAGTGGGCTCCTATCAGTGTGTGTGTCTGCCAGGCTTCACTGCCTCTGACAAACCTAACTACTGTGTGCCGGCAGCAACGCACCAAACATCAACACGCACAGTGAGCATGGACGGACACTGAGGGGCGACAAGAGACACTAAAGCCACACGCACAAGCTTGTATTACTATACTTGTGAGGACGTCCACCAACATTCAGCCGCTGCAAAAAACCTCAACACTAAACTTAAAGTTGAACCCTCTGGTTTGGTTAAAGTGTCCAGTAGCACTCATAAATCCCAAAACACTTCACAGCCGCTCATCAAAAGTCACCTTGAGGATAGGTCAAGATTTAGGGGTCATATAACTATATAAATCAGGGGGTGTATCTTCAAACTGTTAAAAATGCCCAGAACCTCAAGAACATAGACATAAACCTTGCCTTTGAATTAATCTAATTATTTTTCTTATTTTACTCCATTATTTAATAACTAATCCAGATCTGCTGTTTTTCAGAGTCATGTTTTTTTATTCACTTCCTGCATTTCCCTTCTGCTCTACAAACCTATGGATATATACATTGATTGTTTTGATAAACCTGTCCTATATATTATAAATTACTCCCAATGTTATGACCTGATTTTAAAAAAAATATATAACAGTATAATTTTTTTGCAACTTGCTCTGCTGTCTTTGGTTAAAAGAAAAGTTTGCGATCTTTCAAATCTGGATGGAAGATTTCTTGTGCTCCATGTATGGTCCTAGAGCCGGTAGGTATTTAGCCTGGCTTCCAGAATGTTGGCAGTAAGAGTTGCAGCGCCTTACCAGATCTCCAGACTTTTTGCTAAATATTTTGAAAAATATTTAGCAAAAAGTAGGTTGCATGCCAGCATGACAGCCTCATGTAGGTATAATGTTGCCGATGTTTACTGTCTTAGTTTTGGCATATTTGAATGCTAGTATTTGCTAAATGGCACAAAACAGAAATCGCAGCTCAGACTGATGGAATGTCATTAGTTCTGGGGGTATTTAGTCATAAATCAAAGAATTGGACACTTTAAAATATTTTACCCAATGGTGCTAAAGAAAAAGTCAGGGGATCACCAAAGACATGTCAGCTGACATTGACATCCCTTTAACTAGCATGGCTAATAAGTCTGCTTGAAAGAATCCCCACGAAATGTCTAGCAATGTATTTATAGTCCTCCCTGAGTAAAAAAAAATCCCTTTCTTTCTTAGCTCAACATTTGATGAAGTCCCTCAAGTCATGTTAAGTTGTTGTTTAATATGGTTTATGCATTTAAAATTGTAATTGTTAACATTAAGAGTTAAATGCTAAATCAAAGCCAAACAACTTTGCCCTAAACCTTATCTTACTATATTTTAAATGACAAACTCAAAGAGGTGCAGATCAGCTAGTATGTCTTCAAGAGCCTCACTTGTTTTAATCATGAGGGGACATTTGGTCCTTAAAAGTATAGAAATACAACAAACACATACTTACTTAATCAAAGCCCATATATTCTGCACTGTAAAACATACACACTACATGAAACAAAGAGTAATTTACTTGAGATGAAGATTCAACTTAATCTGATATGTGGTGCCTATGTGGGTGATAGAAACAGAATTGTATAAAATGTATGTTTTGTCTGTTTTGTGTCTTATTTTGTTCTTAAGTAGTATTTTATGTGTTAGAGGCCGTTTGGCTCGTTTAACGTATCGACAAACCCTATGGACTTGTGCTGGGGGATCCAGTTGTTTTTTTTCTACCCAGTCACACTGATTGTGGATATTTAATTCTGTGAAGAGGCCAACTGTCTTCTCCCTCTCTTTCACCATTGCCATCCCTTTGTCTGCCATAAAGAAAAGTGTGTTTCTACACTACAGCATCACCAAATCCCGTAATATGCACATGTTGATGTTCGAAACAAAAGTTGCGAATGTAAAGCCTTTGGAGTAAGCTTTTTGTTGGATTTTGTCTCCGTTTTGTAAGAATGGTAAAATGCAATCATAAAACTACTTATTTTCAGGGACATAATACAATGCCCAGTGTCATGTGTCTCACAAAGAACTAAAATACTTTGAGTTTCCTGGTATTGCTTTCTTCCTTCCTTATAACATATACGGAGGATGTGTTGAGATGACTGAAATGCATTTTTATTTTTCATAATTCTCTTATCTGCATTTTGCTGCAAAGTCTTGCCAGGTTGTAAAGCTGCTATGGGACAGCGATGGGAGAGGAGAAACTTGTGTACATTGAAAAAAAAGAGTGGGAAAAAAACAACTGATGTATTTGTAACTTGTACATGAATAAATAGCTTTTTCTATGAATTCATATTACAGTGTACATTAAACCCCTTGGTAATAAACCACAAATTGTGATATTTGCACTGGCTGGCATTTCAGTTTTTTCTGTTTGGAACATCATGCATTGGCAAATAATATTTCTATGTTTGCATTTTTACATTTGAACAAATGAAAGGTTGTCATTACAAAGGCTACATACTCTTATTCATATACATGTTTTTATATCTTATATCTGGCGCTAGCATGCCAAAATAGCTCACAAAGTTAGTTGGGTTGCTAACAGTTAGCTAAGTATCAGCTAGTTTTGTTCACTTCCGTGACCGAATCCACTAATTACATTTTCGGGATATCGGGTTGTTGGACAAATAGACAATTGAGAATTGAAACAATGGCATGGCACTGGTGGAGGTTTTGATCTAAGGGAACATAGGGCTGAGGAAACACAAGGCTGAAGGGACTTGGGGAACACAAGGCTGAAGGAACAAAGGGCTGCAAGAACATAGGATTGAGGGAACATAGGGCTCAGGGAACATCATGCATTCAACTTCTCACTGTTGCTTCTTCTGCTTGTACTCTTCCTTACTGCAGTATTAGAAGACTTGTTTTTATTGAAGAAACGCTGCCATTCAGCTCTGCTAATTTGATGTTAAACATATTTAATTTCCTATAAATTCTTCCCAATTAAAGGCCCCAGTTATTATGTTATTTAAAAGCTTGACTCCTATTCAGCTGAATGCGAGCATGACAGTAAAATAAACCAGATATCTGAAAGCAGGAGAGAAACTAAACTTCAAACCACAGAGATTCTGTTTGAAGCTACAAAAGTACTGAGAGCTGAACACACAGACTTTTAAAATCTTTCTCTCTGGTCTCCCGCACAGACATGAGTTGAGTCTCGCAACACACGCTTGTTTGAGAGGAACTCGGCGAGTTCAAACTGGTAATGGAAACACAAATCAAACGTGACATGGTTTGACTCGGTGCAACCAAAAGTGCCGCTGGAAAAACCAACACATTCTCACTCCCAATTTTATTTCCATCCGTTATACTCAAATGAATGTGACGTGGTTATATGACAGATTCAGAACAACACAACAGCAGCAAACAACAAACCCAACAAATGACAGCTACAGTAGCTTGTGAAATAAAGATAATATGGGACCATGAATTTGATGAATTTACGGTTCATCAGACCACAAATAAGAGGGGATAAATAATTAGCTAGCTAGCACAACCCCGGTCGATGTTAGATGGACCTTAAGACAGATACAAATGAAAAAGCTGGAAAATAAATCTGACATTTGGAAACAAAAGTACCCTGAAATAAAATTAAAAGTAGTCAGTAAAAATAAAAATCTCTTTATTCATTTATTCAACTATATTGACTTATATATGTAATACATGTAAATATATATATATATACATGTATTTTTATATGTATTACGCAATTTATTTATTTCATAGCCATACTTTATTTATTTAAAATTGAATAAATTGGCATTCACACATATCCACTCCAATATAACTAACTTGGAAATTAACTCTGATCACCCAAATACTCTTGATACTGATTATTGCAGGTTTATTCTGACCCCAATATTTTCACATTGCTGATGTTGCGCTGTGATATTGACACACCCGTATCAGTCAGGAAAATGCATGAAGTCTCACATCATCACATCAGATACTTCTTTCTCTCACTGTAATCTGTTTGCAGTCATGTGTGCATCTTCTCATTGTCTTTAAATGTGCAGGAGCAGAATGACGCTCCTCCAACTTCATGGCCAGTAGGCATCGAGTCGATTCCCACTCCAGCTCAACGCTTTGTGTGTTTTCTCTCTCTTTCTCCCTCACCTCCCACCTCCCTCCCTCCTGCTCCTATTCATCTCATTTCCACGCCTCCCTCTCTTTTTGACTCCTCTGTGAACCGTAAGGGGAAACACTCACTTCCTCGCTTCACGGCAGCGTTGCTCCTGCAAGCCCTCGCCACTTTTACCGAGCATTAGCGGGGAACTCTGAGCATCTGCACACATGTGGATGTGGTTCACTGGACGTATTCAAACTCATTTGAATTGAAGTCATTCAATTTCATTTGAATATATGCACAATTTGTTTTTTTTAATTAATTCACTTTAACATTTTGAGGAGAGGAAGCCTTTAAAATGTATTATAAAACATCACACACACACACACACACACACACACACACACCAGCATTGTTGTCTCCCCCCCAGTCAGTCCTGCTTACAGAGAAACCGGTGTAATTATCAGGTTTTACGGCTTTGATTACCGCCGGCCAGGACTTGAGGCTGTGATGTTAGTACATCTATTCCCTTCCTCTCCTCTTTTTCTCGCGCTATGGGTCTCCTATCGATCTTGTTTGGTCCTTTAAGTGTGGGCAGAGGGCCGCTGTGAAGCTAAATCAACTAAAAGACCGGCCATTCTCACTCCATAAAGCCCCCCTCCCGCTGCGTGAATGGCCCGACACACTCGCACATCTGGACAAACACACACTTGTGTATTGGCAGTGCGGTCCAAAATGGACTAAAAGGAAAGTGGCGGTTAAACTTAACTTTAACACTTTAACACTTTGCGCGGAGTATATAGACTTCTGCCGCTTCACGTGTCTCCTTGTTGCTGTGCCACGACTAAAGGTGTCCCAGCACAACATAGGATGTAACAATACTTCCTATCACATATAAAACCAAACAAAAATCCATATTCATAAAAACAAGTTGTACAAATAATAATATATAAACAAGCATATTACATAATGACATAAATAATATTTATGGCAGTTAAAGCTACTGCAGATGTAAAAACAAAAGCAGTTTACTTACCAAAGCTGCTGTTCTCTATTTAAATGACAAATTCCTTGTAGGTGCAAACTTCCTTGGCAATAAACGGTTCTGATTCTGATTAAAGACAAAGTCCATCCTCCTTTCTTTGTTAACAAAGAGTTTAATCTCACGGTTGTTCAGTACATCCGTGCGTTTTAGTTCCAGTAAGAAGTCCTTCTCGATTCATGGACGCCAGTGATGACAGTCGAGCCTCCCCAGTTGCATTTCCTGAATATGTTTTAAGGGGCTTGAGGGCTGAAAATGTCCGCTCAACAGAGGCAGTAGATATTGGGATTGTCACTGCCCAACATGTCAACACTAGCCCACTGACCAATCACGTACTTGTAGGCCAGTTGGAAGGCTCTGACATGTCAAAGAATACGCTCAACATGTCAAACTAAAAATCTGATTGGTTGAAGACTATGATAATCAACAATATCGTCCCCATTTACTTAAACTGCAAAGGGTTTCACTTCTAATTCTGAAGGCCTCCAGGCCTCTCTTCTTACCTAGAGACAGCATAGGGGCGAAATCTGATTGGATAAAAGCTCTACTTAGAACAAGCTGCGCTGGAAGCAGCGCTGGAAGCAGGGAAACAGAGGAAGACAGTAGCTGTGCAATGAGTTAATAAGCTAGTGGGAGAAATTATTTAGAATACATGTAGTGTATTTATGAAAACTAATTACATTATAAAATAGCTATAACTTTGTGATTCTGTCTAGGCCAGCAGAGAAGGCTTTGCTGGGCCTGACGGCACCACTGGGTCACAAATATACTTATTATATTGAAAAAGGGACTGTATGCATATCATGAGGGGAAACTGTATGCTTCCTGTGAACACAGGAGTTTATTTTGAGAAGACACTATGCATGTAAGGAGCAGAAACTTTACACGCCATCCCCAACAAGACTCTAGAGGGGTATGTAGAGCGTCATAGTTTGAAGCCTACGGCCACTGATCAAGCTACGGTATTTGACAAGTTGAGAGTGAGAATATGTTGACGCGTTTGGGGACTTTTGTAAATAATTAATGTTATAAATAACACTAACTAATAACTAATAAATAACTAAAACTCAAAGATTCAGTTGGCTGAGAAGGTAGAAGCACCACATGTCGAAAATAAGAGAGCAACTAGAAAACAGACATTTAACAGTTTAAATTTGGGAGGAACTTGTTTGAGAGTAACCCAAACCAATCAGTAACTGTTTATTAATTCTTTACAGACTGGAAGAGTCATTAGCTTTTCCATTCAGTGTTGTTTTTCCCATCCATCCAAAAATGCACTTTATGGTTTTCTCTATAGATCAGTCTTAGCTAAATATATTGTAAATAGGCTTAGTAATGGCGTTTGATTTCAATTCAAACCAGAATTATTTTTAGTTTAGAGGGTGTGATTTAAATGTTGTTTCATGATTATTCTCATTATTTTCTCCCTCAATTTTGTCAGTGTTTGGTTCATTTTGTCAAAATAAGTTGAATGACATCTGAAGTAAAGAGGTAAAAATGAAACCAAGTAGGGTTTCTATTTTTGAAGTGTTGAATATAAATATAAATGTTATTTTTATAAATTAGTTTTTAAGCTTTTATTAAATTTGAGCCTTTATGGAATGTATGTTAATATGCTGCCTACAATGTTATTTATATATTATATAATATATTACTAGATCAATTATATTGCTGGACATTATATATTATATGTGGTCATACATGAAGAGAAAGCAGGGAAATAAAAACTAAATCAAAATGTTATCCTGAGGTACAGAGCAAATCTCAAACCTAATTTCCATGTGCTCCTCAGCTACAGTCATGCCATCAAATGACAGATGTTGTGTTTTTCCTCAAAACGTCACGTGTATTATGTGTTGTACATGACCTTTACCAAACCTTTGGAAGATGACGGTGTGGATTGTGCCCAGTGTTTCTGTTTTCATTGTCAGGGATTTTTCGTTAGTAAAGACCCATAAACTCCAGGTCACATTCAGGAACATTTCTCGTAAGGCAGGTCTACCTACGTAAGTTATTCTTCTTGGAAGAAAAACAAACATTTATAAACTAGGCCTACTGAAAATGAAACAATGCAAACACAGCAGCAAAAAATGTAATGAAACTACAAAACAGGAAGAGCACTTGTATGCTGTTTAACATAATTGTACAGTTAGCAGGTTTTAACAGAGGACAGCACCCTGCTAATCAAATCCACTGCTGAGGCAAGTGAAGCCTACCATGAGAGGGGTCTCCTGGACCTGCATAACGCAGGATCATCCAGGGCTCAAACTCAACACTCCCCCCCCCCCCCCGAC